ACCAATTTCCTCCACAGTAATTGAACTATTCATCCCATTTTGTTGTTCCTCTGAAAGTCTAGGAAAATGTACTGATTGTAAATATTTATCTATATCCAAACCCCTTATATTATCACTTGAATATAATTTTGTGTAAAAGTCCAAAAAGCTTTTTCTAATCAAATCTTGCTGAAAAACCTCAGTACCTTTATATTTTACTTTCTCTATAATTCTAGCTTTCTGTTTCTTTCGTAACTGATAAACCAATCACCTCCCAGGCTTATTCGCATTGCAAAAAGTATTATGTCTCATGTACGACAGATTGGTAGCCACGTGATCTGCCATCAACATGTTGAATTGTTCCTTAAGCATCTTTATAGATACCTTTAAATTATTATCAGTAGGGTTAAGAACCAACTCTTGTTCTTTTGATTTGATCTCTTCTTCTATTTCTCTACGTCTTTGTAACCCCTTTTCCCTAAAAACTTTATTCAATTGAATCAAAATTCCCCTCATATATGCTTTACTAGCGTCCCACACCATAGACATCGATGTTCCCTTATTCATATTTATAGTAAAAAAGTCCTTTAAATGTTCTTTACACTTTTGTACGAACTCCTCCCGATTAAATAAGTTCTCATTCAATCTCCAGGATCTTCTATTCCCGTCTTCCGAATATAACTCCATCCACACGGGACTATGATCTGACAATGTTCTAGGAAAAATTTTCACCTTCCTCACTCTAGGGAGGAAGTCACTAGTAATCAAAAAAAAATCAATCCTTGAAAATGACTGGTGTCTATCAGAATAAAAGGTAAAGTCTCTATCACTTGTATTCCTTTCTCGCCAAATATCAATAAGCTCCAATTCTTCCTTCAAATCAAAGAAAGTCATAGGTAATTTAGTTTGAATAAAAGTTTTAGAGGAACTTCTTTTGTCTATAGTTGGGTCTAAAACCCCATTCCAGTCACCCATCAAAATTACCGATTTATAATCCAACTGAGATATCTTGCCATGCAGCAACTTATAAAATTGTTTCTGTTGTTGATTGGGAGCATATAGTCCAACAATAAGAACCTTTCGGCCTTGTAATAATAATTCCACAAAAAGATATCTTCCTTCAGAATCAGCCTCAATTAGTTTAGCTGAAAAAGTTTTCTTCACATAAATTACCACTCCCCCTTTTTTCCCAGGGGCTGGAGCAGTAAAATGTGTGCCCAGACGGGAATTCATCAAGAATTTAGAATCCTTTAAAGTTATATGAGTCTCCTGCAAACATATCAAATCATTATTATGTTGTTTCAGATAATGGAAAATCTTTCTTCGTTTCTGGGGCACGTTTAAGCCATTAACATTCCAGGTCAGGAACCTGACCATCTCCACCGGCCTGGAGCCTCTGGAGCATGGCCTGCAGATCTGCTGTCGAAGATCTTTTGGGTCTTGCCCCTCCCACAGGCTCTGTAACAACCAAACTTTCACCACTCTTCTGCAACTGCTCTTTTTCTTTACGTTTATGGGCAGCTCGTGTCATCCTTTGCTCTTTTATGTCAGAATTCGGTGCAGCTTGTTCCATAACCATCATTGATGAGGCTCCTGCCATAAGAGACTCTTCCGTCATCCTTATTTGTGGAGGTGGTGACAATCTTGCTTTTAAGATAGACTGATAAAAATCTCTTGCTTTGGAAACAGTAGTTAATCTGTGACGTATCCCTTCATAATTTACTATTATTCCTCTTGGAATCTCCCATCTGAACTGAATTTGACGATGTTTCAACTCATCAGACAAGAAAGTAAAATCTTTTCTGGCTCTTAAAATTTTTGGAGGTATCTCTTTTAAAATTATCACGTCTTGATCAGCAATTTGAAACTTTTGTTTGTAGAAGGCCTGTATAATTTCATTACGGATAGATCTTCTAGAAAAATAAATAACCACATCTCTTGGTAGATTTCTCTGTCTAGCAACCCGTGAATTAACTCTAAAAATTTTTTCTATCTCATTCTCAATTATTTCAGGCCGCCAGCCAATATTAGGAGCAATATCTTTCACAATAAGCATATTTAAGTCTTCCTGAGGGTTATCCCTCAGGCCTCTGATACGCAATGCGTGTTCCATCTCCCTATATTGTGAAATGATTTGTTCATCCTGTGTAATTTCTATCTTGTTCTCTACCTCCTGCATTCTAAATTCCATCCTTGATGCATTTTCAGTAATCTTTTCCATCTGGTCATCAATCCTTTCTATGTGCAGGGCTAAGCCCTGAAAGGCCAGAAGGATATGGTCTCTTACTTGTTTATTCTTTTTCTCCAATAATTCTTCTGTATTAGCCCTCTCTGCAATTATAAGATCTTTTACCTCCTCCTTAATATCCAAGGCATGCTGTTTTAAAGCATCTTGTAAATCATTAAGAGAAATTGCAGGAGGAGGAGGAGAAGGTGGAGGTGATTTTGGTTTCTGAGATGCAGGCTGAGGCATTGGAGAAGAAATAGGAACCTTAGGGGGGGGAGGCAGACGTTTTGAAGCCATTTTCTTAAGTTCCAAGAAGAAAGATTCTTATTGAAAAAAAAAGGGCACAGTTCTTTTAAGTATTCTTAAAAAAAAAGAGAGAAAAAAAATAGAGAAAAAAAGAGGAAAGAATAAAAGCCAAATTCTTACTTCTGTATTTAAAGAGTTAATCTGTATCCAGGTTTTACTCTGTAATGCAAATCAGGCAAGAAAGACGATCGCCATTTTACTTTTCACTTTCCCTTTCTTCTAAAGGGAAAGTGAACAAAAGAAAAGGAAGAGGAAACTTGCTGAAGTTAAAGGCACCATCAAACTTAAGCACAGTCTCTCCTGGTCTGCTCCGTCTGCTTTCAAATACTCACAAGCAGCTGGAAAAAAAAAGCAGATGTGGAAGCGGCAACTTGCTTCATCCCAAAAGCTTCGGAATGAAGTCTCCCTGGAACGCGGAGTTGCTCAGGCTCCGAGGGAGCTCTACCCTCCGATCCCCAAAATAACAGGGATCCAGGGGAGCTCTTACCTCTACCTGAGAGCTCTCCTCCTCCCTTTTTCCCAGGGAGGAGATTCAAGCTGCGGGACAGCTGATTGTCAAAGTCCCGCGGCTTTTACACGCACCAGGAACGGGCGGCTTTGTAAAACGCCGCCATTCGTCATCGCTGGAACCACCGGAAGTCCTGGACTATTCTATTTTTGAAATATTAACAATGGCATTAATTGGGATAGAAAATCACAATGTTTAGTATAAAGAACTTCAAGACACGACTGTACTAGAGCTCAGAATTAATGTCTCTCTAATTTCTGGGGCTCTCTTAAGTTAAGTTTGACTCCTGGTGACTACATAAGCCCATTGTTGCCAGCAATACAGAACTATGTTATTCTGCAATTATTCTCCAAAATTGTTATACAGCCTTTAGCCCTTGATAGCCTGGCATCCAAGTGCTGTACAGATCTAATTCCACTTAGTTTTTTCCAGGCAGCCAAGTGTTACAATGTGCTAAAGCAGTTTCCAAAGTATTAATTGAAGAAATAGTTATGATCTATAAAAATATGTAGGAAAGACTCAGTGAGGTACTATGAAGAGATACTGCCTACGGGATGGTCAAATAAGACAGAGCATAGTCCACAGCTGGATACTGGGTGGGCCAAGAGGCTCAGAAAGGATCCTCCCTAGTTTCTGAGGTTGTAAAGAAGATGATGGGAGAATTGTACTTTCAGACATGCAAGATTCTATTAGTGTAAATTTTCACAATAAAGTATTGTGAAATTATTAGTTGGAATAATTAGTCTATCTGATCATGTTTCCTGTCTGGTCTACCTGGTAAGGCTAACATTATCATCTACCCATGCTATAATTCACACTGGGGTTTTAAGATTCGGAAATTAAGCAAAAACGATACGCTATATCAGGGGTGTCAAACTAAATTTCATTGAGGGCCGCATCAGCATTGCAGTTGCCCTCAGGGGGCGGGTGGGTGTGGCCAGGGTAGGTGCAGCATACTGGATGGGCGTGGATGGAGTGGGGGTGGTCTACTGGGTGGATGTGGCCAGCTCTACATCATTTGCGTCAAGGGGGCCTGTGCAGGAGTGGGATAGATCTGAAGGTCTCTGGCAGAAGGGGGTGGGACCAGGGCAAGTGCCGAGGCATGGTCCACTGGAGAAGCCTCAGTGTTCCTCTCAGGCCATGCGGGGGGGGGGGCTTATGGAGCTAAGACTGAATGCGTTTCAGCATAGATGGCCACCACAAAATTGTACATTGGCTCCCAGCTGGCCTGGGCAGGGCCAAGGCAGAGGGGGCCGTTCCCTCACTGTTTCCAGGATATGAAAAAAGATGATCTAATGATTTTTAGCATTGCTTAAAGGAAATAATACACAAGTGATGCATTATCTTGATTACTGAGCTGATGGTCACTCCCAGGGTTTCCATTGCCACTGGTGCTGTTTTACATTAGCATGAAATCCGGGCCTGAATAATAAGAAATGTGACCTTGTGATTTTCTCTGGTTTTGGCTTGGCAACATTTCTGAACTAAGAATGCTACAGTTTACTAAGGAGGTCAGATAATCTACTGTTACTAGCAAAATTAGCTCCACTTATAAACATGCCATATGACATGTCAACAGTCTAGTCCCATGTGCAGCAAAAATTGCTGGAAGGATAATTCATAATTTGGAACAAAAAAATAAGCTAGCAAATATTAAAAACAACAACTTCTTAGCTTCCACTATACCAGTGCTTCTCAATTATTTTCTGTCATGGCCCCCTAGGAAGAAGAAAACATTTCACGCCCCCCGCGCGACTGTAAATAGTATCATTTGTCTATAAAATTGTTATAAACACATCTCTGCATAACACTGTATCCTTATTAACGTATATGAGAATAAAAAAAGAAAGAAATGTGGATCAATTTACAACAAAGAATAGCTTTATTAACTGTAGCAGAAAAGATTTAAAGGAGCACAATATTAAAAAAAAACTTTAACCTGCAAAACAAAAATATATAAAATAATTTGAGCTGTCTGGATTAATGGCTACAATGAGCACGTTTTTCAATGCACAGCTTTTCGAAGCGGGGTTTGAAGCAGGACACAGAAACTCTCAGCTCCTTCTCAATGTGTAGCCGAGACCTGTATTTGCTTTTCAGAGCAGCAACAGCAGAGAAGCCAATCTCACACAAGTAAGAAGTTGCAAATGGAAGAAGAATGTGCACAGCTCTTTGTCCTAAGAGTGGATATTGCTTCTTCACACTCAGCCAGAATTCACTCAGTGTCTGGGATGTGAAACTTAGTCTCAATATGGAGTCAGATGTGATTTCTATGAACTGCTCCTCCTCTGCAAGACTGAACCCAGTAGGAGCTGGTGCATTAAAAGGACCTCTCACCCAGTCATACTGGGAACTGTTTTCAGGAAAGTACTTTGTAAAGAATCCTATCAGTGATGAAATATGCTGCTTAAAATATGGAACCACTGAGATGGCATCATAGTCAGTAGTGTCAACAAATTCCTGCAAGTTCTCAAATGACACGGTACTTCCTTCATGAAGCCGCCTGCCCCACATTGCAAGCTTTCGAGTGAAAGAGTTGATCTTGTCTGTGGCCTGAGGGAGGTGTTGATTTTTCCCTTGAAGCTGTAGATTTAGTTCATTGAGCTTTCCAAATATGTCACTCAGGTAAGCAAGTTTCATCAGAAAGTTCACATCACTAAACTTTCTTGCAACGTCATACTTGTGCTCCTGCTCCAAAAACATTCTTATCTCCTCTCTGAGCTCAAAAACTCGGGACAACACTTTTCCTTGTGACAGCCACCTTGCTTCACTGTGAAACAGCACAGCTTGATGTTCAGCTCCCATCTCCTGACAGATAGCAGAGAAAACTCTTGTTTTTAGTGGTCTGGTCTTTATTAAATTGACTACTCCTATAATGTCAGTCATAACCTCATTTAATTCAGAAGAAAAGTGCCTTGATGCCAATGCCTCTCTATGTAAAATACAGTGTGTCCACTCAGCATTAGGTGAGGCCTTCTTGATGAGTGTCCGAAGTCCTTTTCTCATCTCTGCCATGGTCTGTGCACCATCACTGCAAACACCCATGCAATTCTCCCATTTTAGCTCATTCTCAGTCAGGAAGCAGTCTAGCATTTTGAATAGCTCTTCAGCCGTGGCTCTGTCACTGATATATTTACAAAAAAGTAGATCCTCACATAGGGAATTTGCCATTTCAAAACGTACATAAGCGATAAACAAACAGTCTTTGTTGCTGTCAATTGCTTCATCAAATTGTAAGGCAAAACGTTTATCCTTGAGTTTATCTACCAGCTGTTCGTTAAGATCATCAGCAATGTCATTTATACATCTAGCAATGGTGTCATTCGACAGAGGGATAGTTTTTATTTTTGCAGCACTTGCGTCATCCAGCATGACAGAGACCATGTCTAATGCTGCAGGCAGTATCAGCTCTTCTGCTATGGTGTGAGGTTTTTCGCACTGAGCAATTTGGTACGCCACCTTATATGATGCCAACAATGCTCGCTTGTTTACTGAAATAGCAGTCAGAAAGTGGGATGATTGTTTGCAATATTCGACACGTTTTCGCTGAAAATACTCAAGCGGCTTATTAGCGTGATTGGGGTGTAATGTCTTTAAGTGACGACTTAATTTATTTGGCTTCATGCTGTCCGCTGCCAACATTTTTAGACATAGTAAGCACACCGGTCTTTCCTCGTCTCCCACCGTAGTCACAGTGAAGCCAAGCGCTACATACGCCTCGTCATATTTCCTCGTCTTAGCCTTCGGAAGACTTTCTTTTATCTCCTTCTCTCTCCGCCTGTCTTCTCATCCCTGTTAAAAATTTTTTTTATGTACAGAGGATCGATTTCCGGGTCTAAAAGTCACACGGGCGGGTTTGGCCAATCAGGATAGAGCATCATGTCTATCCAATTGGGTCCTTTGCATGTGTCACGTGCGTTGGCGGTCATGTTGTCCTCCGCATCAGGCTGCTACTGGGGCTGCGCTGGGACAATCTTCAGTGTTCGCGCCGCGCTGCTCCCTCTCTTCAGCTCTAGAGTTGCTAGGCAACCAATGCCGTGTGGGACGCCGCTTGCGAGTGAGTCAGATGATCCGATCTAGAAATCCAATATGACAGTATTTGCCGAGGTCAAACGAGCCCCCCTTTACGGAGCCTCGCGCCCCCCCTGGGGGGCGCGCCCCACTATTTGAGAAGCACTGCACTATACTAATAGCACTATTGTTGTTTTCACTAATCTATCGATTCTTTTGCTATTTTTATTGACTGATTCACTGCAATTTACATGGGTTTCCTTGTAATCATATTGAAGGAATTTATCATCTAATTAAATTTAAAAAATTAAATTAACAAAACCCATTATGCTCTCTTATATGACAATCCTTTAACTGTTACTTAACTTTTATTCTAATTCAGGTATTCTACTTAAAGAAATGTAGGATATAAATTGTCCAGTAAATGAGTTAATTAAATAGAGTCACTTTAACAGTGAGATAGGTGGCATATAAATAAATAAATAAAAATAATTTCCATAATACAGGTTTTATTTAGTTCAGCTTTTTAATATGATTTATTTACTTCTATTTATTCCTATTTATTCCTTGAGCCTTTTGCAAATCTAAGTCATTTTTTGCAGCCTATAACAGTAGTTTCTAAATGTTGCGGTCACTGCCTAGCAAGGCCAGATGCTGAACACTCACAATGCACCCAAAAGTGCCAGGCAGAGCATAAGCAATAAATCCCAACTGATTTTTTTAATAGGGTGGGCAGTAACATTGTGTTTTCTACAAAAGGGGGAAAACATAAAGCAACCTTTCCTTACTCTGGATAGATATAATGACATAAATTCATAACTAAGATAGCCAACATGCTTGAATACAAACATTTTTAAGGTTAGGTTCCGCAAAGAAAAAGCTTTTGAAATGTCTGTTGTTTAGCTAGAATACAATCAGTGCTTGCCGTTTTGTGAGTGTGTGTGTCTTTGAGTCAGTGTTGACTCTTGGAAATAATTTTCATGGTAAGAGTTCAGAGTAGCTTGCCATTGCCTCCTTCCTAGGGCTGAGAATGAGTGACTGGTCCAAGGTCACCCAGCTGGCTCTGTGCCTCCAGTTGGACTACAATTAATAATCTCCTGGCTTCTAGTTTGTTGCCTTAACCATTACATCAAACTGGCTATCGGATAAGTAGTGGTGTGGAATACTAGTTTCAAAGTTACACAATTGGAGGTGGAACCAATTCTCAGAACACGTGCCTATCTCAAATTAGAAGAAGCAACCATCATGCTGTGAAAAACAGCAAAATCTATGCTTACTTTTATAAACGTACTGATTTTAATAACTTGATTAACTTTCCAATGTAAACATTTTTTTATTAGACCATTCTAATGCAGAATCATGTTTCATAAGATTATCAGAAGCCAAGTACAGAAAACAAGAAATTGAAGAAAGGGAAAATCACTGTGCAGTTTTTTACTCTCTCAGCAAGCCTGATATGGTGAGGAGATAAACACTGGGAGCTCTTTAGGTGACTCCTTTTTTATTTAGTCTATGAATGTATCCAGTACACAGCATACATCTCTATATTAAGCAGCTCCTCCAGAATATTAAAACCATTAGAAAGATAAAATCTGAATCCAGAGAAAAAGTTCTAGGGACAAATGGGACAAGAAATTCAAATGACAAGGTCTTCAACTCTCCTGCTTCTTCTATTTTTTCTAGTTTATTTATATAACTAAAATTTGGAAGATTGGTTGGAAAGAGAAGCTGACACTAACAGTTTGACAGCATTATGAATATTGGTGATATAATGCCAAGATACAGGTGACTTAATCAATTTTTCCACTGAAAACATCTTGGAAATGTAAGAGCTGCCTAAATTATGCCTGTCAAGTTGTATTATTTCAAACAGAAACAAATACCAACAATAAAAGACAATGTTTATTTATTTATGTTCTTGCTGTCTGAGGCCAAAAAACTTTAATATGGAACAAATAAGCAGAAGCTAACAGAAATAATTGGAAGGCAAATAATACTATCCTGAACCAGTTAACAAGTTTAAATACCTTGGAATCATCCTCCTATCAGCATAGAAGAAACAAGCAAATAATATTACTGCTTAAGAACAGAACATCTCTAATGCAGTAATGCTATGCACTAACCTCAAATCCAATAATTCTGTTCCTGTTACAACTTGAGTAAGGACAAGATATTAGTCTTTTTCTTTACAGAGCATAGCTCTACATATATGTACTCCTTAAAAACTCTTGAATCACTCAAATTAAATAAAATAGCTCTACATTCTCTGATAGAAATATAGTACGTTTTATGCCTGGAAAATAGCTTTTCCACTGTTCTGGCTCACATAAGAATATCTTAACTATTTTTCTTCCCCCTTGCATTTTTAATACAGGTGCAGGGTCTACTTTTTCAGATTAGCTTGAGTATTGATGATCCATGGGTTGTGATACAAAATTGATAGACCAGCTTATTGCCTGAGTCTGAAATTGTGGGCAAAGAGAGAGTGACTGACCCAAAGTCCCTCAGCTGGCTTTTTATCAGGCGCAAATAATTAGGAATATTTGTTGAGTTCAAAGTACAAAAAATACTACTATTATCTATACCCCAAAATCTAGTCAATTAATACTCAAAGCTAAGTTGCTACTAGATAAGGTTCAATGGAATTCATGGAGGATGGTGGCCTGGACTTGGCTCTCTTGTGGCAATGCAATGACTCCAAACTTATGAAATGTTTAACTCTGCCTTCCAGTTCAGCCTGCTCTTCTCCTACACTTTCATGTCTAAAGTAGGACTAGAACTCACAGTCTCCTGGTTTCTAACCTGGAGCCTTAACCACTAGACCAAAGAAGCTTTTTTAATATCTTAACTAAAATATTGGATAAGATTACATTATTCAAAGGAGTTCTTTCCCTCTATCTCTTCACATTTGTCATAGAAAATTTTGCCTCTTTGTAGTAAGTATTTGTTTAGATTAGGAATCATTTCAAAAAATCATAGGACTTGAAGAAACATCAAAAGCCATTCAGGATTTGCCCAAAAATTTCAGATACATTGGCTTCTCTTTCAAAACCTCTGATAAAAGGAGCATAAAACAATTTATTGACAATACTTTCTATCTGAAAAATTCTAACCTGAATACACAACTACTGTGTGGTTTCAACCCCACTGATTCTGGTCCTGCTCCTAGGAACAACTCCATTCTCTCTCCCATATGACAACTACAGACAAACCCAAAATAATTATGGACCATCTCAGACAGACTTATCTTAAAATGGGATATTCTGGCTTACTGTGAACTTCAGAAGTTGTCTTAAAATTTAATTGAATTATATGCAATGGGATTGATGCAGTCAAGACCTCACAACTAATCAAGGAGAGAAACAACCTGGAATTAAGGAGAAACTTCCTAACATTGAGGACAATTAATCAGTGGAACAGCTTGGCTTCAGAAGTTGTAGGTGCTTTATCATTGGAGGTTTTTAAGGAGAGACTGGACAGCCACCTGTCTGAAATGGTATAGAATATCTTGCTTGAGGAGGGGTTGGATTAGAAGACCTCCAAGATCCATTCCAGCTCTATTCTGATTGAAACTGTTAACAGAAAATGATGGAAGATGTTTTTCTTCAGAACAATAGTGCCATTAATGTAGTCTGTCAGCGGGCTTTTGTTTTAGTGCAGCCTTTCAAAAGCTTGAAAAAGGGATTTCTCTGTTGTCATGGCACCAAACATGTTCTATCTCAAATAACCCAAGATGGAAAAATCATGCATCAGCCTCTCAACCACATCTGAATCGCCTGTTGCTGAAACGCTCATTAAAATGTCCTCCCTGTATCAAAATATCAATCGGGCAGACCAAATTTGATTCAATGACTCCGAACAGCCTCTGTTTGGCACCTAGGAGACATATTGTGTCTGCTTAAGATATGAAAGTCTGAATATGGAGCGTAGATAACACTTTTTAGAGAAGGATGTTTTTTTCAATCAAGTTCATCCTGGCACATTTAGTAATACACAGAGCTCTTCTTCCCATTAAAATTATAATTTGATTCTGGAGCAGAGCTTCTCAACCTTAGCAATTTGAAGATGTGTGTACTACAGCTTTCAGTTTTCTACAACCAACATGTATATTACACAAAATAAATAAATAAACATTTAGAATATGGTTTATAAAGTTTATGCCAACATGTACTGCAAATTGGTTGGAGTTATAATGGAGGGGGAGGTCAGAAATTAAATATTTACCAATAATATTTTTTAAAAATATTTTATTTTCCTTTTTTAAAAAAACATTTTAGACCATAATATAATGGATACTTTGGCATGAAGCTCAAAAAAATATACTATTTTTATATCTTAAAAACAATACACTTTGCTTGGTACTTTTTTCTAATGTTATATTGAGCACTAATTGTATAACCTCAGTAATTATCTGTCCATTCATAGATAATGCATTTCCTGAAAATACATCTTTGTTTTAAATAAAGTAAAAAATGATTATAAGACCATAGCTCTGTTAATGTACTTTTTAAAAAAGAGAAAAATGAATATATATTTCTACCTGTTTATGTTGTATTATTGCTAAATAAAGTCTTAACTTTAAAAAAAACCCACTGCTCTAAAACTAGAAAGAT